TCAGTCGGCCTGTTCTGCTCCTCACTCTGTCTCTGGTGAATCCTCTCACTCACCACACCTCTGGCCTGTACCCTAGTTCTGTAGGCATAAACAAATAAATCTTTTAAAAAACATTCATAAAACTTGCTTTTTGTTTACAGAGCACACTAAGTTTAAACCATTTTTCAGACCTAGTTTATGGCCCTGCCCATATCTGCCAGCCCACTTATCACTGGTCTACGTTGCTGGATCACATGTCCATTCCTGTCATCCTGCAGCCCAGAGCTGGCCCCTGGAGCCCATTGCCTAGTGTTGCTGGTGGCCTTTTGCTTTGCCAGGGACCAATGTCTCCATTTTGCTCATCAGAGCATGATCTGCTGCAGCTTTGGTACAGACATCTGTTCTGAAGTGCCCATTGAAGTACTGGCTTCCCCAGAAACTCTATGTGGGGATCTGGGTAATACAATCTAGAGGGCTTGGGGAATTTACCCCTGGGGGTGAAGATAGGTCCTTCAATCCTTTTCCTCCTTTCACTGGACTGTTTTGACATGCAGGTGGTGTGATGTCCCACGTCTCTTCCAGAGGTTTGGTGGTGAACACGGCCCCTGCAGCTACAACCAAACCTTGTGGTTTCTCTCCCATCTTCCCTATTTTTTTTCACCTTGTCCCTCATCCTTACCTCTGTGTGATTGCAGTGAAACATTGGGCCATACATTTTGTCCTGCTTAGGTTCTGTTTTCTAAGTAACCCTGCCCCTATAATTTTACCTTTTATTACATGTCATGACATGTAATCATATAGTACATATCCTAATGTATCTGACTCCTTCAACTTTGCATAATGCTTCTGCAATTCATCTATGCTTTCATATATTCAGGTATGTGTTCTTTTTCATCGCTGAATAATAATTCACTGTATGGAATTGATAATTTTCAGTGATTAAGAGTAAGTTCTGTATTGACATGTTTTTATTGTTTAAGGGGGCCTGGGATTTCTGGGTCATGTGCTATGCTTAACTTCTTTTTTAAATCTTTATTTACTCAGACATTTTATTGACTTTATTTTAGAGCAGGATTCATAACCCTCTATACTACCACAGTCTTTAGAGAAAAACATCAATTTAAAAGATATCACTGATAAATCTTACAAAATGCCCATGTTGACGTTCTTTCAGAACAGGCAAACTTGCTCTGTCAGCATCTCTCTCTCTATGCCTTCGTTACTGAGGAATAATTCTGTCTCAGTCTCTTCAGTTCATAATTTTTGCAGAAAAGACCATTCTGACTGTAGTCCTAGTGAAGACTACAGTATATAAATTTTTTTTCTTTCTTTCTTTTGGTATATTCTACATAAGAAACGGTGTTCCAGCTTGCACTGTCTGAACATTTCAAGATTTTATTTGAATCTATTTGCAGCTCTATGATTAAATTTTGATAAACTATCAAACTGTTTATCAAAAAGGTTGTATTGTTTTACATCTCCACCAAAAATGTATAAGAGTTCCAGTTGTCCTAATTCTGCCAGAACTTGGTATTATCAGTTGGTTTCTCTAATTTGAGCCACTGCAATAGGTGTGCAGTGGTATCTGATTGCAGGTTCTGTAGTGAACCAGGGTCTTAAGTATCTCCTTTGCCATCTGTATCTCCTTTTTGGTGAAATGCATGACTGCCTTTTAGAAAAGATGAAGATCAACTTGTGTGAGAGCAGTCATAATAATGAGTAAAATTCACTTAGGACAAATGTGTCACTAACTAAATGTTTTCACCTTTTAGAAACAATTCATTTTAGTCCCAGATATATTCATCATTCATGAGTTTTATTCATCAAACATTTACTGAGTACATTTTGTATGCCAGTCAAGAAAACTAAAAGACTTGAGGAATTGTTTTTGAATTGGGAATATCTCAGGACAAGACTGCGCTAGAGGGAAGAAAGAGCTGGTGTCTAATAGGAAGCATGAGTCAGCATAATATATTTAGGCAACGATAGGTTACTCTGATTATTCCTGTTTGATGGGCTAATTAAAAATGCCAACAGCAGAACCTAAAACAAAAGCAGTAGCCTCACTCTGCCCCCAAATTCCAGGTTGCATATCTCTAGAGACAAATTTAATTATGGCTTCATCCTCTGCAAGGCAGAGAGCGGGTTCTGGGGTGCAGCCTGTGTACCTTCTTTACGTATGGGTGTAGAGCAGCCTCCTACTCTGTAATACAGCTGGTAGGTTGCGGAGGGCAGTGTCCTGGGCATGCAGATGAGCTATCAAAAGGCTCTGGTCTGAAGCCATGCGCTTCACTTGTCTCTCGTATTAAAGAAACATCCAGTTCCTAACATCTCTGGTTGTTGTCTGTTTTCACAATCCAGGTAGAAACCACAGGCAGAGAGGGGTAGAGTTGGGTTATTTTCAGAAGTGGCCACTGAAGTGGAAGCTGGACAGAGAATGTACAGAACATCTGAAAAACAATTATGAATGTGGTATTCATAATTGAGCTTCCCAAGTCATGGTACAAAAAGGTCATGCTTTCCCTGCTATATTATCTTATAAAGACATCAGGTAAATGGGTACTACATTTCATAAAGACTTATATGTAAAATTTAAAAATAAGCTGTAGCAGTTGAAGGGGCAACTTTTTTTTTTTTTTTCGTGGCAACATGTATTTGTAGGAGAGTCCTCATTTCCCTAGGATGCCGGGTGAGGAGATTATCACTGACTCAAATTATGCTTGTTTGTACTTTCTGTGGTTGGGCTGTGACAGATCTCTGGCAACAAGCAACTTGTAACTGATAGGTAAAGTGAAGCAGCTGTGAATCACATGGAGATGTACCGTTCAGTGACTGACAGACTGGGGATGAGTGTTTCAAACCATCTGTCTTAGACCTCTTCCACCTCCAGTGAGTGAGTCCGAATTTGCTTAGATTGGGCTCATCAAGGCACAAAGAACCAAAAGGCAGATGTCTTTGAAATCAGGATGTCAAGCTGCAGAGAGTTTGCACGATTTTTTCTCTGCCTGTTTTTCTTTATTTTTCTTAAGGTTTTGGGGGAGAGTGTTAGTTAATCCTAATCCTCATTGCATGAAAACACATTTTTATGGTTGGACCATGCAAGACCTGTGTTTCATTTTGTGTCTGTATATTTCTGGCTGTCTATATTTACCTTATTCACTTGATCCTCTTTTCCTGCTACCACCCCCATCTTTTTTTTTGCTTCCCCTCAGAGTCAGTCTCTGACATGTGTGTGTGTGTGTGCATATCTTTGGATTTGTATTTCCTTGTAAAACACTCAGAATTATTTTATGTGTTAACTTATTTTCAAGTTAAATGGTGTTCTTAATTTTTACTCAGCACTGTCTTTTAGAGTGTGTTGCTGGTCCTGTATCCACTTCACTGTTGCATAGTAGTCCATGGTGTCCATCCTTATTGTTGAGTTTTAAGAATTCCTTGTATGTTTTAGGTAAAAGTTCTTCATCAGCTATGTGTTTTGCAAAGCAGTTTCTTCCAGGCTGTGGCTTGTTTCTTCATACTTTTAGAAAAACGATTTAGTTATTTATGCATACAGAGCTGGGGTTCAGGCCAGAGATGTAGAGGGTGAGAGGATTCACCAGAGACAGAGTGGGAGTCGAACAGTGCAGATTGACGAAGTACACTGCTGAGGGGAGCAGCGGGCGGGTCAGGAGAGGTCTGCGGGGCCATATGGATAATCTCTGGAGCAGAGTTATCCAAGACACTCTTGCTGAAGTGTCTATAGCTTCTTAGTGCTGCGCTTTAACCCATTGCACCACCAGGGAGGGCCTCTTTTCATACTTAGCTGCCTTTCATGGAGCAGAATTTTAAAATTTCAATGATGTTCAACTTACCAGTTTTCTCTTTCATGGATTATGCTTTGGTGTTGTGTCTAGAAACTCTACTCAAGACATGTAACTCAGAATTTAAGTTTTACTTTTAGTTTTGCCTTTATATTTAGGTATGACATCCATTTTCAGCTTATTTTTGTGAAAAGATGTAAAGACAGTGTTTTATTTATTTATTTTTGCATATAATGGCCATTTGTTCAAACACCATTTATTCATAGACTATCCTTTCTCCATTGAATTATCTTTACTGCTTTGTCAAAGATGAGTTGACTGTTTCTGTAGGTATAATTTTAGGCTCTGTGATTCTATCAATCTATTCTTTCACCAATATCACACTGTCTTGATTATTCTCTATTTTTAATTTGTGCTCTCTAGCCTTGAATTTCTAAAAAAGGATTGGAAATTAATTATAATTTTAATCATGACTAAAAACAGGAAAAATTTAACAAAGAGATAAACATTGTAAGAAATTGGAATATTGATTCTTCTGGCAGTGGCTCAACTCTCTCAAAAATTAGGACATGAGTCAGAAAGAAGAAAAAATATTGGATGGTTTCACTTATAGGAGGAATAGAGGGGAACCAAATAAGGGATCAGGGAAAATAACAAATAAACAAACAAACAAGCAAACAAATAAATAACAAAGTTAGCAGGCAACTATAAATCAGAGACGACTCTGCAGGGGAGAGGAGGGAGAGAGCTCAAAACAGGGAAGGGGAGGGCACACGAGAGGGCCTAAGGCGTGGTGCATGGGTGAATTGTGGTGGGAATTCTGTGGGGACTGAGAGGAGAAAGCAAACATTGTACAAAAATGAACAGTGCTGTAAAACATAAAATGATAAATTATATAAAAGTTTTTAAAAGTCAGGACACAGAGAAATATTACAATAGATTATGGACAGGCCCTAGGGCATTTTACTGCTCTAATTTATCTGATAATATCAATAATCATATTTTAGGAGAGAAAAAATACCTGAAGTTGGGTTATTCTTAAATATTGATTTACTTTGATTTTCTGGGGATTAGTTAGTTGGCACCGTACAGTGAACTGTATGTTGTTCATGGGTGACATATTTCAGCCCTTTAGCCACTTTAAGAATTGAGCCAGCAATAAGTGTTTGTTAAGATATGCATATATGCAGTCCTGACCACAATTTTTGGATTTTTTTTTAGGTCAATGATGCTTTCTTTCACGTGATACAGCGCAAATCCACAGGCAAAGTGCTTATCTCTCTTAAATAAGTCCTCACCTCCATGGAAAACTCAGCTTGTCCAAATTGAAATTTTCATCTTTTCAAGAAACCCCTATGTTTCTAAAGATGTTACTTCACTACCTTCCTTATTAATCCAGGTTTAAAATCTGTTAGCATCATCTTGAGATTCTCTTTTCTTTTTGCTCATAATTACTTGTCCAGACGTGGACTTGTTTGACAGTGAAAGGGTGCTATTAAAAATGGTACTAGGGGCCCTCCCTTGTGGCGCAGTGGGTTAAAGCACAGCACTGAGAAGCTTAAGCCATTTCCGCATGAGTTCGATTCCCCCCTGCCCCCGAGGTGACCACATGGTGTGGCAGACCTCTCCTGACCTGCCCGCTGCTCCCCTCAGCAGTGTACTTCATTGATCTGCCTGTTCTGCTCCCTGCTCTGTCTCTGGTGAATCCTCTCACCCTCTGCATCTCTGGCCTGTACCCCAGTTCTATATGAATAAATAAATAAATCTTTTAAAAAAAAATGGTACTAGGAAAACAGCCTAGGTGAGCCAGGCTCTATTATCATGCATTTCCTAATCATTGAATTCTGTACAGAATAACCACACTGAAAGCTAATTCTCACTCTGTATCTTTTGCCTATTCTGACTAATTATGTCTCACTTGCTATTTCCAGTGACCTCCTGACTGGTTTTCCTACCTTTAATTATCCCCACCCTCTCCATTCCTATTTTACGTATTGCCATGGTGACCTTCCCAAAGCACAACTATAGCTATGTCTCATTTTAAAAAAAACCTGCAACAGATCCCCACTGCCTGTTGGAGTGTAGACTCCTTGAGTTAACCTTTTGTTATGGCCTTGATTTTGCCCCATCAGCTCTCCAGCCTTGGGCTGTAGCGTCACCTGTACCCAAGTTTACTCCTAGGTTTCCTGTCTCCTCCACCCTCTCCTTGCTCTGCTCAGACTGTTTCCTCTACTCCCTTATCTTTGCCAAACATAAGCCTTCCTGACCTCCAAGATATACCTCTGCACGAGTCTTTCCTTACAGGAGGAGGATCATCTCTACCCTCCCCCTTCCTTCCTATAGCTTCCCCGAATGATGCATCTCTATCTGCCTTGCATTGGACGGAGCAAATGTCTGGTGGCATCATTAAAGGATTTGGAATCCAAGATATGGATTTGAATCCCAGTCCCACTACTTGGGAGGTGGTTATTTAAGGTCTCTGAGCTGTCATCTCTTCTCATTGGTGTCTCTGGTGGCACAGCGGGTTAAAGTACAGCACTGAGAGCCTGAAGCCACTTCAACATGAGTTTGATCCCTGCTCCGGAGGTGACCCACATGGTGCGGCAGACCTCTCCTGGCCCTCCCGCTGCTTCCCTCAGCAGTGTGCTTCATCGATCTGCCTGCTTTGCTCCCCACTCTGTCTCTGGTGGATCCTCTTGCTGCCTCTGCACCTCTGGCCTGTACCCCAGTTCTGTATGCATGAATAAATAAATCTTTAAAAAACAAAACAAAGAAGAAAATTGTCCTTTGGCAAAGCACCTGGCACATGCTAAACAATTAGGAAACACTAGTTCTGTTCTTCCTCTCCTCCCTTTTTTTATCCTTTGAGAATAGGTTCCATGCCTAACTCCCCTTTGTACCGCCTATAATGCCTAACAAAGTGCCATGCCCTGGGTAAAAAAAAAAAACACAATAAATCAAATTGAAATGGAATTATTTGCACGTATTAAATTGTGGGATTCAGTTAAGAATATGTTAGCCTGGAAGGAACTGAGATATCCATAGATTGATGCACAACAGATAAATAAAATATGATCTACACATACAGTGGACTACTGTACACTTGAGAAGAAATTGCAATTTGACATACGCTACAACATGGATGACACTTGAAGACATGCTGAATGGAGTTAAGTCAAACATGAAAGGATAAATATTGTATGTTTGTATAATCTCAATTGCATGAGGTTTCTGGAGCAGTCAGAATCACAGACAACCTAAGAGAGTGGTTATTGGGGGCCAGAGGAGACAAAAATGGGGAGTTGTTATTATTTAGTTTCAGTTTGGGATGGTGAAAAGTTGTACAGATAAGAGAGTAGTTATATTTGCATAACAATATAACTTACACAATGCCACTGAAGTGGATACTTAAACATGGTTAAAATGGTCAATTTTATGTTATGTATATATTTACCACAAAAATGTTTCCAAAAAATGAGTCTATTTTCCTCACATATTAGTGAGTTCCTTCAGAGAAGAGGAAGAGTGCCTACTTTAGGCTGAAGAGAGCTCCAGGCCCTGTGTGAGCCCTGGTCTGCAGGGAGAGGTTTTGTACACACTACTGGACACTAACCGGGGCTCTCAGTGCCTCATATTGCATGAGTGATATTTCTCAGGGAGGTGGAGGGTTGGGAGGGGATAATACAGACATCTGATACCAGAGAAAATGATAATCAGATTTTATTCTTGTGGTCCCGTTCCAATATCTGTGGTGAGAAGCTTTGTTTTCTAGGTAGTACCTCAGTTCTTTTGAACACACACCTGTCTTCTCAGGGCTCCTCACCAAGTAAGCTTTTGGAACAATTGAATTGTAAAATAGTGAACGTTTGCAGAAAGAGTTTGCAGCTGAGAAGTTAGCAGAAAGAGTTTGCAGCTGAGAAGTTAGCAGAAGGTAAGGCGAGGGGCGAGAGATCAGGAAAACTACTTACTTGTGATGGGTCCATGTGGTACTTGCCCAAGGGCCAGAGTACTTGCTGCTATCTCTGCTTTGTCTAATTGCCGCATTTTTACCTTCCTGGGGCCTGTGTGTCTGGTAGCCTCTCCTCACCTACCCTCTCCCCACCTGACTTCTTCCAAAGGTGAGCAATTTTTTGTATGTAAATGGAAGTTGCTTTTCAAAAATAACAAGACACTAATTTTGAGGCGAATCTTAGAATTTCTGACACCCTTTGGGATAATTAAAGGCTTGCTGGCTAGATTCAGGAAGAAAGGAGGCTAGGTCTGGCCCGGGACCACCTTTCCACTGTGCATAGTTGATCAGTAGGTGTCACTCGTGGGAAAGATGGTTGCCAGGTCACCATGCCTAAGTGACTTAGATGAAAAGAAGCAGTCATTAAGGAGAGTGAGTTTCTTCAGGCTTAATGAATATTGGTTGGAACCCCTGATGACCTGTTCTGTGCTTGCCTGTGTTCCTGCTTCATTGGAATGATTTGATTTGCATTTGACTCATATTTTAGTCATCGTTTGGTTGTTCTACCATCTGAGCCATTAGTTGTCTGAAAAAAGAAATCAATGCAGTTCCAAGTGACAGCATTTATTCTGTATTCACAGACTTTTCCCAGCACTTCCCTGTAGGCTGGCTGCTGGAAAAATCACACCCACACACCTACCTCTCCATTTTCAATTACTGTGGGTCTGTCCACCTGCACACATTTCACTTAACAGCTGAAAGTGAGGTTTTGTGCTTTTAACTGTGGAATAATTTTGTCTACGTATCATCAGTGTATTTGTCCCTGCTTTTTATGCTATAATCTGTGCAGCTCTAGAAAGCTATCTTTTCTGTCTGAACTATGGTAAAGGCAACAAAAGATTGCTACTTGCTATAATTGAAGGAAAACAAAGGTATGTACATTATCACTTTTATTTCATGAGAAAACCTAACTTAGAAAATTCATGTTATTATAATTTCTAAGATTGTATAAGTGAATATGTAATGACTATAAAAATTGATTAAAATGTTTATAAAAGACATGTGTCCTAGTTCAACCAGCAAATGCTGTATGTCTCTTCCATTTCCCTTCTTTGTCATAGTTTATTGCTAAGTAGAAGGGCTGAATTAGAAAGATACTGGTTTCTGGAATATTTTCATTGTCAAAGAAAACACAACCTAACGTAGGAACCTGATCTCTCTCCCCTCTCCTTTCCCTCTGCTAATTTCTCAGTTTCAAATCGTCCTGCAAAATACAGGTATTTCTGTATTTATATACTTACTGAACTTTGGTGAATTACATCATTATTTCAACAATGTTATCACCATGATACCACCTGTCATTAATAAAAGTCAAATCACCAAGAAGTTTGTGACTAGAAATTGTGATCCTGTTTTTCTCAATCTGTGTCATTCCTGTTCTCCAGGGAAATCACCAAGTAGTTGTTGTTAGTCTTACACACCTTTTAAAACACATATAACCACAGTTAAAAAAAAATAGACATCAGCTTTGAGAATAACTGACCAACGTGTGCATTCTGCTCTGTGATGTACTGTGTTACTCAGTGCTGTGTCATGGACAGCATGCATGTTAGCAAGTATGAGTTATCTCATTCTTTCAAACAGCTGCTTAGATATTCCATAAGTAAGATGTATATCATATAGGACTATTTTCTTATCACAGATTAGCTAGTTTATTGAACAGTAAATAATTGTTTGATGCGCCACTAAATACCAAGCTCAGCACAGCATAAGGAATATTATGGTAAACAAAAGTTTACAAATTTTTTTTGTAAAGTGGCCATTAATTAAGTATACAAAGCCAAACAGTGCTGTATGAAGTAAAATGGGGGTATTGAACTGAGGTTGGTCAAGAATGGTTCCCTTGGGAACTCCCTGGTAGTACAGGGATTAAAGGCAGTGCTGTCAAGCTACTTCCAGCCACTACAGCACGAGTAGATCCTTGGCCAGGGAGCTGACCCACATGGCACAGCAGACCTCTCCTGTTTTGCCCACTGCTCCCCTCAGCAGTGTATTTCAGTAGTAAATCTGCCTGTCCTGCTTCCCACTCTGTCTCTGGTGAATCCTCTCACCTCTCTCACCCTAACTCTGGTGAATCCTCTCACCTCCCACACCTCACCTTTAACCTGCACCCCAGTTCTTGTATGCATAAATAAATAAGTATTTAAAAAATAGAATGGTTTCTTTGATGAAAGATTCTTGAAACCCTCACTGAAGAGGTAGGCCTCCTAAAATTTAACTTTAGGAATTTACATAGGCAGGTAGGAAAGGGAGAATATTCTAGGACCCTGTAGCAAATGAATGCATGGCAAATAAAAGGAGCTGAAAGGCTATGGGGTGGAACATGCAGGCATATGTTGGAGAAGGTCTGCAGAAGGGGCCAGACTAGATAGGGGCTTGTGGCCCATTATAGGAGTTTGCCTTACCCGAAAAGTGTTGATGTGTTCTATCTAGAAGTCGGGGTGGGGAGTGGCATGACCAGACGGGCTGGAAGAATCCCTCCAGGACTTTGTGTTACATTGGATATGGGGGCGGGGGGAC